GGGGGGGGAGGTTGGGCAGCACCTCTCTGCCATGGCAAGGGCTGTGCCCAAGCTGTCCCCTTTGCTCCCATTGTACCTGCAGAAGCGTGAGGAGGGCTGGTGGGTGGTGATCGGTGACTCCAAGTCCAACAGCCTCATCTCTATCAAACGGCTGACCCTGCAGCAGAAGGCCAAGGTGAGGTGGGCGCTGGGGGCTGGTCAGGTCTGTGATTACCTTACCCAGGCTGGAAGGTAGAGATCATGGGGCTGATACCCAATGTTCCCTCTAAGGTTTAGCAATCTGTGAGCAATCCTGGCTGGGAGTGCACGGGTATCTGTGTGCCTGCCCCTCCCCCCTCCTGCAGCAGCCTGTGGCTGGGTTGGGGTAGGTGGCCAGAAGCTGGATGGGAAGCTGGTGGCAGGGAGGGTGTTGGTGCCCCCTTGCTACAGCACGGGGCATCCCCCCAGCCCCCTACCACAGTGCCCCCCCGGATGGTACACCATTGTGTGTGCAGTGTTAAAAAGTTATTGCACAGCATGATCTTTTATTGTGCGCAGCTTAGAGGGAATGCTGCTGATACCCCTAAGCTGTGGAGCTGAAGCCTAGATGCAACTGTGGTTGACCTTAGTTTGGTGGAGGACCTGGGTCTACACCCCAGGCCAGAACCCTGGGGCTTGGGGTACCTGGCAGAGTCCAGCTGCTGACTGGGAAAGGGGGTGGGGAGTGATGACACCCTTGGGGCCTGTGGAGCTGGAAGCAGGATCCACTGTAGCCTGAGACAGCCACATCTGTACCTGGGGGGGGGGGGGGGGGGGGGGGAAGCACATCAGCCTGGCTCCATGTCTAGTGCACCGCAGCACCCCCACCCGCTCAGCTGCTGTCTTCCCATGCAGGTGAAGCTGGATTTCGTGGCCCCAGCCACAGGCACCCACAATTATACACTGTACTTCATGAGTGATGCCTACATGGGCTGCGACCAGGAATACAAGTTCTGCGTGGACGTAAAGGAAGCTGAGAGTGACAGTGACTCTGACTAGCCCTGTACTCTTGCCATGGACATAGCCAGCCACAGGACCTGGCTAAAGGCTACAGTGGGCCAAAGGGAATGAGGTGCACACAGGGTGTCCTGTGCTGTGTGCACCTGCTCTAGAACTGTGAACCTCTGTGTTGGCAGCTAGGCCCAGCCACAGGTAAGTGGGCCTGTAGCCTTCCTTACGCAGCTCCTGCCTGCATTCCCTCTCCTCAGTTTTAGATGATGCTTTTGTACAGTGTGTGGTTTCTTTTACCTGAGAGGCAAATAGGACTTGCCCTAGCCTCAATAAAGCTGTTGAACTACTTTGGGGCTCTGGCAGGCTGAGGGGTGAGCAGGGTTGGGCTGGGGTGGGATCAGGGATTATGGCATAGCCTGGATGGAGTCTCTGTCCTACCTCAGTGGCACTCCCAGGCTTGGTCCACCTAGCTCTTCCATGGCAGGCACCTGTGGGCTGATTCTCTCGAGCATCTTCTCCTGTCCTGTTGCTTCACCTGCCCTCCTAGCTGGAGCCAAGAGCAAACCTCTGCACTCTGCATCCAGCTTGGCTTGAGGGGGAGTGAAACCAGGGTCAAAAAGATGAATGAGGGGAATGAACGTGTTGCCGTGATGGCCCAGGAAATAGGTGAGGCACAGAGCTTTTGGTGTGTGACCTTCTGTTGGAGTGTAGCATGCAGTGGTGGTATGAAGTCAACTAGAAGGCACGATATAGCTTGATAGATAATATGGATAGATGAGAAAAGACAGGAACATAAACATGTCTCTAAATCTATATCTCCATCTACATAGCTACATTTATGTATTTGTCTCTCTAATCTGTGTATATATTTAATATATCTCTATATCTGTCTTGTTGTTTATCCCTATTTCTATATAGATACCCATCCATATTTATCACAAATTATACACCATGCCTTCTGCTTGACTTTAGACCATTATATGTGCCTTTCACAGTATCTGATCAAGTGAGCTTCTGCTCATGAAAGCTTGCAATCTAGTCTTCTTTGCTTATTCTTTTAAGGTGCAGATTTACCCTGCATTCTATCTTCTGTTGGACGGAGTGCACAGTTGGGATAGCATCAGTTGGGTTTTCCAGTCCCGGGCACCCTTCAGGTCTGAGGAGGGAGGCATAACTAGAGTTAGAAACAGTCTTCAGGGCTGTGAAATGGGAGCAGACATTTCCAGGTGTAGACAAAGCCAGGAAAATTGCAAGAGAAAGGAGAACTCAACGAGTGGACTGTCAAGGCTGCTGAAGAGGGGAGAGAATCATTCACACTAGCGGAGTGAAGAGAGATTAGCAGGAATCAGATTTCTGTGCTTACAAAGCCTGAGAACACATGTTCACAAGCAGGGCACTAAAACCAAGGACTGACCACGGACATTGAGCTCACAGCTCTCACAATCTCCTGGATTCCTGCTACTCTCTCCTCTTTTAACAGTCTTGATGTTCTGCTAGTCAAGCTAACCTTTCTTTTGCAACTTTTCCTCCTCTAACCTACCCCTGGGCTTGTGCCTTTTCTGATTTCACACCCTAGTTTTGTTTAAGCCTCAGCTGCCTCTGCTTCTTCCTGACCTAGGAAGGAACAGCTGGTTATTGATGGCTAAAAGCTATGCTAACTGTGCAATCAGTCCAGCCAACAATGACTCTAAAACCCTGGCCTCTTGTGCTAGAGTTGTAGGGAATGAGGATGAAAAAGCAAGATGGGAGCAAGGGCTGTAGAGATGGAAGGAATCCTAATGGTTCTGACTCATGACAGAATTACCCCTAGTGTGGAAAGGCAGCAGCGGTCAAGTAACTGCAGGTCTATGAAGTACTGGGGGTAAAAGCAGCTAGGGCTGGGTGAAGGTGATGGCTGGTTGTTCACATCTGTGTTTTCACACGTCTCCCTCTGCCAGGAAAGCAAAAGCCAGACCCATAAAAGCCACCCTGCTTGAATAGGAGAGGACTGGACCGCCTTGCCCACACACCTGTGGCAGTCAGGTTGAGCCCAGTCCAGCTGCCTGGTTTAGACCCTGGCTCAGCACATGAAAGCACAGTTGGGTGATCCCTCCCTGCCCACCCACGAAGGCTGAGCCCCACTGATCCCAACTGCTAGCAAGGGGAGGGTGCTAAGGCTGAGGCTTCCTGGACTAAGGCAGGGGCAGCACATTAGCAAGGCTACTAATGGGAGGGAAGCCTGGCTTAAAAGGAGAGGGAAACTAGGGCCCCAATCAGCAGCTGCCCTGAGTTTGATGTCACTGAGGGCTCCAGTGCCAGACATCTGCTGGGGCTTGGGACCATGGTCTTCCAGCCTGGCTGTTGGTTGCATGTCTGAAGCAGCTACATTAAACCCAAATCCAGACCTGGCTTGGTGCCACCAGTTCCCAGCAGCCTCTTCCCCTACCTGTATGCTGCTGGCTGGGCTGTGATTCTGGGGGGCTTCTGTCTATGGACGTTCCAAGTGCACACCACAGCATCTTGTACCCCCTGGACCAGGGCAGGGCATAAAGCAGAGGCCAGACCAGATGTGGGAGGATTTTTATTGGGGCCTGGCTCCATTCGATGAGGGCAACAGCTGCAGCAGAGGAAACCGTGCTACCCTTGCCTTGCTGCTGCCCACAACTGGGGTAACTTGAGGCCCTTTCAAGGAGCAGAGAACCCGATCCCTTGCTGTGCCACTGTCCTCTGGGGGCAACAGCACCACACTCCTGTGACTGCATCTGCCAGACTTCCTGTTGCCCCAGGGTGGGGGAGACAGAGCCAGTGTCAGGCTGTGCAAGCTCAGAGCAGCAGGCTGAGAGGCCTCAGCAGCACTCAGGGCGCTGGTACTTCCAGAAGGCCACCTCCCCATCGTCGCTGCAGCTGGCCAGCAGCCCTGGCTCAGCAGGGTTCCAGGCCACACAGTTGACATCTTGGGCATGGGCTCGGGGCACGTGGGCCATCAGGGCAAAGGTGGGCTGCTGTGGCTCCGCCAGCAGCTGCTCCTCAAAGATTCGGATGGCATCCTCTCCCCCGGCTGTGGGCCCCGGGGCAGTCAGGTGGCACCTGTGGGAGGAGGGGCTGGTGCCATGGGGATTGCCAGATAACTCCCACTTGCCCCCCTCAAGTGTCACTCCCTTCCCAATCTACTCTGCTTTCCACCCCCTGCCAGAAGTTAGCCAAAGGAAAGCCTTCCTCCGGACAGGTGAGGGGGATACAGGGAAGTTGGCTTCTGGTTCTAACAGCATTCAGGGCTCAATGGGAACAGCTGGCCATGGCTCAGTGCCCCCCAGCTCCCATGCTAAAGGGGAGAGCCTAGAACCACTTGTGGCCCCAACCTGAGTTTTCCCCCTATTCCAGGACCAACTCACCAGGCCACATCATAGATGGTGCGGGTGTGGTAGCCAGAGAGGGTGCAGATGCACTTCCAGCTGGGCTCTGTGCTGCTACAGGCCACCCCTACGAGGCAGGAGAAACGACAGGGAGCTGCTGCCCCAGACCTCGCAGCCGCGCTGGAGGCCACCCAGGGCTTCAGTGCACCAGGCTGATCTGGAAACTAGCAGCTCCCAGCATCCCCCTGCCCACAGCACGGCACAGCTGGGAGACGGGTATAGCCCTGTTGGTGCCATCTAGCCAGCCCAACGGAGCAGAGCTGGTGCTGGCCTTGTCACACCCTCACCAGCCCTTAGAGTGGAGGTGAGCCAGCCAGACTCCTGAGTCGTTGTCACCCTCCTCACCAGCCTGTACCTGGCTCATTGCTGCTCCAGATGCGCACAGTGCGGTCATCACTGCAGGAGGCAAGTCGCCGGCCAGCTCCATCAAAGGCCAGGCCCCACACAGTAGACTCATGGCCTTCCAGTGTGGTGCAGCACACCCAGTCATCCTCCTCCTCACGGTACAACTTCACAGTGTCATCATAGCTGGCCGAGGCCAGGAGCTGGCAGGAGAGGGTGAGGCTGGGGTCTCAGGTGGGTTTTTTCTACCTAGTGGCAGGGGAAGGGGGAGGGATATCTAGGGGACAGGGTGCAATCTAGCCATTTTGGACTCCTTCCCCCTAGCCTTTCCCATCCTGCCCCACTGCCCAGAAGACAGAGGCTGGAGCCCCCTGGGGTAGCCAACCAGGATCTCACCTCCTGGGTAGGATGCCAGACCACGTGCTTGACGTCCTGTGTGTGAGAGTTGAGAACGCTCACACACTCATACTCATCTTCTTCATCCACTGCCAGAGAGGACAGGGTTAGCTGGGGGACTAGGACGTAGCTAGAGGCCCCTTCCCTCCTCCTGCCACCACCACCACGCCCCAGCCTCTCTCACCTTCCCAGATCCACACACTCTTGTCACGGCTGCAGGTGGCCAGCAGGCTGCCGGATGGGGACCAGGCCACCGACTTCACCTCATTCTCGTGGCCTTCCAGCGTGGTCACGCACTGTTAGGGGGAGAAGCAGTTAATACCAGCCCCCAGCAGGGAGTAGGTTGCAAAAAAGCTTGGTTACAGGTGGCCAGAGTTGGAGCCAATGGCAAGGCCAGGCACTCTCAAGGCAGCTGTTTTCTTCTTCTGTCTTCCTCTTTCTCAGACCTAGCCATGGAGCCTGGACTCGATCCACCAAAGGTAGGAGCAGTAGTCTCGGCTCCCCCCAACCACTTCTTCCTGCCCTACACTGCCTGAGGCTTGACCCTTTGCCCCTTTCTGGTGCCCCCACTTAGTACCCAGGGTTCATACTCCTCCTTGCATGCACCTGCTGGCCCTGAACATGTGGGACATAGCAACCAGACCCAAGCTGATGGCAGGGACAAGATGAGCCTGAGGGAGGTGGGGCCAAGCAGGGGAAGTTCTCAGGCAGCCCTGATCACCCCTGGGAGCAAGGTGCGGTGCACAGCTGGGGTGCCTGGCTGCCCTGGGGCAAGCTGTCCCAGCCTGGAGAAGGGGAGGAGGGAGGGAAGAAGGGCCGGTTCTCTGCCGCACCTCACCTCAAAGCCATCAGATGTCTTTTTCCAGATGCAGGTGGTGGCATCAAAGCTGGCTGAAGCCAGGTAGTTGCCACACAGCGACCAGGCCACCTTCCGCACTGTGCGCTGGTGCCCTTCGTCTAGCACTGCCTGGCAGACCCAGCTCTCGCCTGCAGGGAACCACACGTCACACTGGGGCCATGCCCCACTCCCCAAAAAGTGTGTTGTAAATAAGACAATATGGCAGCGGTGCTATGCCAAGTGTCCCCTGCAGTGCTGTCCCCACTCCCCTACACACAAGGTGCGTTATCCTGTTCTCGGGGGTGTATAGGTGAGACATTACCAGGGATCCGGGTTTTCTGTTTCCCACAGAAAAATAGAGAAAACCACGGATTTCCCATTTTTTCATAGATTCATAGATGCTAGGGTCAGAAAGGATCTCAAAAGATCATTGAGTCCAACCCCCTGCTTAAGCAGGAAAGAGTTCTGGGGTCATATGACCCCATCCAGATGTCTACAGCTTTCTTTTTATCAGAGAAAAAATGGATTTTCCCTTTTAGAAGGGAAACCCATGGATTTCCCCCTTTTGCAAAGAGCTCTGCAGGCTGGCTGAGTTCCAGCCTACAAGAGCTGTTTGCAAAACGGGCAGGGAAACCAACACCCCTGTCCAGAGGGGAAGGGAGAGGGAAAATGTCAGGGCCCGACAATTGCATTTACCATAGGCTGCTTCAGGCTCACTCTTCTTGCTAGAGGTAAGTGGGGCTTGGGGGTTGTGGGGCAGGGCTGGGATGGAAGCTGGCTGGGGGCTGAGGGAGTGGAGAGGCTTGCAGCCTGGGGGGGGAGTGCCTGGCCCTGCCCCCCTGGCTTCCTCAGCCCCCAGCCAGCTTGGGCACTCCTTGGCCAGAATGGGGGGCTTGCAGCCAACTGAGCACTCCAGCTGGGAGCAGGGAGGCTGCAACCCCTCCCCCCTGGCCGGCTGCAAACCCTGGGTCGCAAATGCTGAGCTCCCCACCCTGCTGCCCTTGCCTAGGCCCTCCAGAGTGCAGCATGTGCAACTGGCACGGCAGGACACAGCGGGGCCACACAGGAAAGCTGCTTGCTACTGTGAGCTCTGCGCTGCCCTGGCCACACTTCCTCTGTGTTCACGGGGGCAGTGCAGGGTTGTGCCCCTCGTGCTGCCCCTGCCTGCAGGGGAAGTGTGGTCAGGGCAACACGGAGCTTGCAGCGGCAAGCAGCTTTCGTGTGCATCCCCCCCACATGTGCTGCCGTGCCAGGTTGCACATGACACACGCCAGAGGGCCAGGGGGAGGGCAGCACGAGCCCACAGAGTATGTCCATCCTGCCTCCACACAGATCTGGGGTTGGGGCGTGGGTCCCCCTTTTCCCCCCAGGAGTGCACGCTGCTGCCAGAGCTGGCCCTGCCCAAGCCTGCAGCAGGTAGACAGCAGGGGGGAGCCAGCTCATGCTCCTGCTGCAGCAGCTGCTGCCTTCCACGGAGGGTAGAGGGGCTGTGGGTGGGGGGACAGGGCACATGTAGGGGTGAAGGCTCTGGGGGAGTGAGGAACACCAACAGGCCTGTGGGGGGGCATTTAATTTTTATCAGAGAATTTGGGGGGGGGGGGTTATCATGGAAAACCAGGATCCCTGGACACTACAGTAACACCACCATGCTACTTCTCCTTCCCCCCCACACAAGATGTCATCTCAGCCCAAGGGCGGTGCAAGTGAGGAGGTGATACTTGTCTTGGTGCCACTACCATAATGGGGCCTGTCCAATGGAGGCAGGTAAGACATTATGGTAGTGGCACCATGACAAGTGTCCCTATACAAGGCTGCCCCCACTTCCCTACATGCATCATCATATTCCAGGCAGCGTATAAGTGAGGCATTACGGTAGCAGCGCCATGCTATGTGGCATGCTATGTGCACAAGCAGCACGTTGTGTTCTTCTGGGGGGCGCAGAGCTGAGACCTTACGGCAGCACCATAAAAATCACCCCCCATGCAACGCTGTCCCCACTCCCCCTGGCACAAGGCACCTTATCTTATTTTGTGGGGTACAGAGATGAGACAATACAGTAGCAACACCATGTGTTGCCACCCCCACCATTATCTTATTGGGGGTACAGATAGGAAAATACTGTAATGATACCATGGTGTACATCCCCTCCCCCACACACGTGCGTGCGCACTGTCCTGTGGGAGGTGCGCAGGCAGGCAAATATAGTAATGACACCACACACTGAGCTAATTAGAGGAGACGTGTAGGTGGGTAAATACGTCACACCGCGTGCGCTATGCCGCATAATACGGTACCGCGCCCTGCCCCGCCCCGCTCACCCTGGCGGCCCCAGACGCGCACGCTGCGGTCGCCGCCGCACGAGGCGAGCAGGGCCCCACCCGGGCTCCAGGCCACGAACCAGCAGCGCGAGTCCGGGTGCGCGGCCAGGCGGCAGCTCAGCGTCAGCGTCGCCATTCCGCTCCCGCTGGCCGACCCCGCACGCATGCGCCGCGCCAGCACGG